AAAAAAACCCACCCCCTCCCGGGTTAAGACATTGCACGCACCCCTCCGTTCCACGCATCCCCCCGGCCCGAAGTCCGCCTTCGCGCCTCCTCTACGTCCCCGCCTCCCCCCGCCCCGGGCCCCTTACCTCCGCCCCCACGACCAGCGTCGACGCTCACCTTCTCGGCCCGGGCTGTCAAGGGAGGGCTCCCAGACATCACCTCGGCCCGCCGCCACCTCCTCCAACTCTCCCAGCTCAGCCGGAGCCGGAGCGCTCAACAACCAAGTCCGAGGCTCCAGGCAGATCGCGGGGAGGGGAGAAGCGCCAAGCGCGCTGCCCTCCCAGGGAAACTCACTGCCGCCTACTGCCAGCCGGCCACAGTCATCAGCTCAAAATGGCGACGACGAGAAGGGAGTCGGCGCTCCGACCACCATCCACCTACTAAGGAAGCGCGCTCTGGCCAGCCCCGGTGATTGGTCGCTGCCCGCCAGGGTCCAGCCCTGGCCTCCTCTGATTGGCAAGCGCTTGCCACCTCCTCACACCCCGTGCGAACGCTCCCCTAGTCGAGAAAAGGAGTAGCTATTGGCCAATCTGGCAGGGCCCGCTTTTTAGAAGCCTGACTTCCTTTGAAGATGAAAGACTAGCGGAAGCTCCACCTCTTTCCCCAAAGGGCGAGAGAACTCTCTGGGCGATTGGCTGAGAAATGTATCAACCCAAATGTCACCGATTTCTTCCTATCCAGGAAATTAGCAGACCCATCAATAAGAAATTTATCAGCCTGGCCGAAAGAGTGAGAGAACGGTTGGCCCTACAAAGCCATGACAACTGGAGGCAAAGAGGGTTGCTCTACGCCCCGTCTCATTGGAAAACAAAATCAGATCTGGGACCTATTAAGCGGGCGGGGGCGGAGCGATAATTGTCGCGCTCGCACCCACTGCAGCTGCGCACAGTCGCATTTCCGTCTCCGCCCCTGAGCCCCTGCAGCACCAACTGTCATGGCGGTTGGGCTGTTAGGTTTGACCGCTCGCCGTCTTTGGGCGGCAGCGGCGACGCGAGGGCTCCCGGCCGCCCGCGTCCGCTGGGAATCCACCTTCTCCAGGACTGTGGCCGCCCCACCCGCTGCGGCGGGTAAGCGGCCCCCGGAACCGACCGTGGAATGGCAAGAGGACCCAGAACCCGAGGACGTTAACTTTTATGCGACGGTAAGAGGGAGGGGAAAACGGAACGCCGAAGGGGTCAATCCGGGAGCGACCGTTGGGGTGCTGTAGAGGACGTTCTTGGTAGAGGACTGCGTGGCCGGCGAAAGAAGACTTGGGAATTTTGCCTACTTTGTGTTCCTCCTTTGTCTCTCGGTATCTTCTTCATTCCAGGGCCAGAGACAGGGTTGGTTTTATTTTGCAGACAAACCACACCTCATGTGGACAGCAGTCAAAACACATTAGAAGAAATATAGTACAACAACGATTATACTAAACACTGATATGGCAGTTGCTCGTTGCCGTCT